TATTAACTCCTCTCTTGGTATAAAGAAAGGAGTTGTAAGGGTAAGCCCTGTGATGGTCCTGAGGAAAGACAGACAGGAATCAACATGACTCCAGTGATGGGTTTTATTAAGCTAGCAAGGTAATGTATGCTTTTGATGACAAAGAATGAAGTTCTGTGAAATCAAAAACCTTCCACCACATTTTATCTATAATGGAGATCAAACAAACAAACAAACAAAAAACAACATCCTTAAACAGTAGATTCTTTTTAAAAGGTTTTTTTTATTTGTGAAAGCAGCTCTTTATGAAAATCAAAAGCAGTTCCCAAGTAACTGCAGTAAACAGTGTCTTTTTAAATATATATATATTTGCACCACTTAACTCTTCTCTGGTTTGGTTCCTTTTAATTCCCTAATTTTCAAGTTAGAGCTCTGTTCCTTTCCTGAAAGAGTGCCATTATAGTTAGCATCATTTTCAAGAGTCCACATGATGCTGTCTTTCCATGCAATGTCTGCAAGATGTACACACTGGTTAGCTATTGCAAACGTTTTCCCACCCAGAAATTTTATCATCGCTGGGCCTTCACGTTTTCTTCAGCATACAGTGGGATTGCCACGTGTTGAATTTATTATAGGCTGTTTGCAGCATTTCTTCTATATGACTTATCAGATTTGTGTTTAAATACTGTCTTTGAATTTTGTTTTGGAGTGGACAGAGTTTAGTAACTTGTGAACAGTAGATCCTTAAGTAACCAGCACCCATGAGGATTGGTAAATAGTTTCTGGTTGCTTGATTGTTACTATTAAGATAGGCTTTACTATTACTATGTTCCATAGTATACAACAGACATGTAACCGGGGGGGGGGGGGGGGCTTGGGGGCTTCAGCCCCCCCCCACCCGAAATTCTCATGGTGGTCCGCGAGAAGGCCTTACTGGTGCATTATTTAAACTGTTATGTTTATTCATATCATGATCTGATAACCATACTCAATATATCCCATATGCATGGGGGTATTGGGGTAACGATACAAAAGGTTTGCTAGGGTAGACTCTCAAAAACAATTCTATCTCATCAGCCAAAAGCAGGCCCACACTTTCCATTTAAATGTTAATAAGTTTATATTTGTTAAAATTGTTCTTCATTTTAATTATTGTATTGTTTTTAAGTGTTTTTTGCGCACTACAAATAAGATATGTGCAGTGTCCATAGGAATTCATTCACATTTTCTTCAAATTATAATCCGTCCCTCCAACAGTTTGAGGGACTATGACCTGGCCCTCTGTTTAAAATGTTTGAGGACCCCTGGATTTAAATGTTCTGGTGGCACAAATGCACTTGGTTACATTAGGCCAAGGAGATCATTCTTAAGGTGGACTATGATCTCAAATCACATCAAATAAAAGTATCAACAATTTAAGTCCTAAGTGATTTTTTGAATTGGAAAGACTAATCATGATCTATTGTAAAATTCATATTGGTAAAAAAAAAATGCCTTTTAAGTTTTTCAGTTGATTTGATGAAAATACCTGAATCTTAAAAGAAAATATTTCAATAAAATATGTACAATCAAATGTATATTAAAAACACTATTATTTAGATAGACAACAAAACTGAATATTTGCTCTTTCTTTTCAAATCACAATTTGAAAATTACACAATTACTCACATGGGCACATACCAACAACAATCAGTTCACAACAAAATCCCAGTAACAGCTACAGTAAATGATCAGACTAGAACAGAAGATGGGTAAATAAAGCTTAAAAGTCAGAAAGACAGGTAGGGGGAGGGAGGGTGCTTGTTTAGTTTAGTTTCAGAAGTCAGTTCAGCATTGTTGAAATAGAAGTTATAACTCCGAAATCAATTTTAAAAAAATCTGATAATGTGCCCTTGAATTATATGAGGTATGGGTGCTTCAACTTGCACCTACACCCAATACAATCTTCCTTTTAGAGTAGAAATGGTGTGGTCTGCAGATTGCATTTAGCCCATCAGGTTGTTGGCGTGCCCCTCAGTTTCTGAGATCTCTCTCTCTCTCTCTCTCTCTCTCTCTCTATCTATCTATCTCAACCAACCCACAATGGAGAATCGTGCCTCCGAGCAACACAGTTCTCCTATTAAAATCACATTGTTTTACTCAAAGTAGCTATTTCTGAAAACAATGACCACTTTTGCCCATTAAATTCTAGTTTCCACCAGTTTCAGAAAAAGCCTCAGAAACGGTCAGAAGTTATTAAATATTATTATTATTATTATTATTATTATTATTATTATTATTATCTTTATTTATACCCCGCTATCATTTCCCGAAGGACTCGATGTGGCTTACAAAGGCCAAGGCCGCCAACAACATAACAATACAGCAATAAAACTCATAAATAGTGGTAATAGGATAGATATCACCCCTTGGATACTTGCAATTGCTCTGGAGATTTAAGTATAAATAACTAGAGGTGTGTAATTTGGTGAAAAGGCATGCTGTTTTGGAGTCCATCTCATTCTGTTTACCAGGAAGTTGCTCAAATCAGGAGGGGTATTGCCGTTTTCATTCGGCAAAGATTCAGCCAATGGCCTACAATGGGAAACTTTAAAAGCCCAATACTCAGTAATTTTAAGGCCTATATGCATGAAACCTTACTCAATTTTAGGCCCTATTTACAACTGCAGGCCTGTCAAGTTTCAAAACAATTCATCAATCTACTGATTTTTTAGAATTAATTTAATTTTGAACCATAACATTTTTTAAAAATAAGGCAAACTACAAGAGAAGGTTCTTGGAATTGTAGTCACCGGTTGTGTCCATTCTCAATCAATCAGCGAATGGACACAACCAAGCCTTTTATTGGCTAAGAAACTGAGAGACAGAAAGAAAAACTTCAATTCTCATCATGCTCTGAGATGAACTCAGGAACTTTTCAATGCCCACCCAATGCAAGTGCTGCTGGGAAAGCAAGTTCTCAGCAGGGCCCTCTCTGGAGAAGGAGCCAAGGAAGCTTTCCAAAATGAAATGGATGGACACTGTTTCTCCTGGGCAGGGAGAAAAGATGCACTCCTTCCTCTCCAGGAACCGATAATATCTTGCTCCCTTAATCTATTTTGCTGAGCTTTGCAGCATCTTTCTCCCTGTTCTGTTTTCAGAGATTATATAAAATGGACCACTGAATATTACAAATCGTTTTTGTTCAATTCAGGCCCAAGCCTATAAATAACACAAAATTTACAGTTCTTGTACTGTGTACAGTATGGGAACTGTAATTTCCTGTTGGAGTTTGTATGAGAGAAGGTTTGAAAGCAGGATTAAAGGATGAGAGGTTCTGAATGTACCACATTTAATTGGCTTTAAATGTATATGCATGTACTCCAAGTCTCACAAATAGTAGAATACGGTTTCTTGTATTGCTTGCCCAGCCATCATGGCTTGATAAATTTGAATTCTGGGAGCTAGCAAATGAGAACAAATTACTGGTATTAACCAGCATTCACTTTCTAAATTACACCTATTTGAAGGAAACATTTTATTATTAATTTGCTGTCATTTCCATTGGTTCCTGTATAGCTGGGTTAAATGTGTAATTATCTACATTTGGTCCTTCACAATGCAGGCCAAACAATGCCCAGGAAAATTCATAACATGGATCACAGATTTGGGCCTCCTTAAAATAAAAAAAAAACCCTCAAAACAAACCAAAACCAAATTGTGAGCATGAGATTTAATAAGGTATCTAAATTAAATAACATAGAGGTATGTGTGTAAGATACTATTCAGAAAATGTAGTAATAATTTGATGCCCATCCATTTTTTCCATGCGTTTCATGCAGTTTTTATTTGGAAAGATTATGTCAATAATTGTATGATGTTTGCATTGTAACGGACCATTTGTTTATCTAAAAACTGATAGTAAACATACTTTTAAAAAAGAACTGCTTTCTTTTAATTCAATATTATGCCACTGGAGTATACATTTGAACATATGGTGCGAATCTGATTGTGATCACATATCCAAATAAGATTTAAAACGTAGTTTGAATCACTCCTAATTATGAACAAAGAATTTTTAGAATGTTCTAAATTCTCAATAGCATGAAAAACATTGCATCCGGATTTCCCCCAATGGATTATTTATTTATTTCGTATCAAAAGCATTGCATAAATTAGTACAAAACTGATAAAAATAGAAGGAGCACAGGCAGCTAAAAATCTTTTGACCAATTGCCTCCAACATTTCTTCCTCTGTACATGAGGCAGGGCATAGTGGACAAGCATACAGATGAGGAGTTGGGATTCTTTTAGGTAGTGTCATTTTGTCAGATTGTCTTTTGATCTGCCAACTCCATAGATAGGGCAATAACAGTTAATGCAGACAATCACAATTTTCAAATTCTGTTCATTCAATCGAAAACCGATGCAATCTTACTTATTATTTTGATATCACTGGTATGTACTATATTTAAGAAAATACAATGATTTGTGAAATTGTTGCAATTCAAAGTTTTTCTTTTGTATTCTTAGGTTTATTCATGACTCTTTAGTAATCCTGTGGTTTACAACTCATCTGATGGTGCAATTTTAACGTTCTAGGACTCATCCACCCTGTTTTGGGGACAGAACCCCATGCCAGCCATCACACAATGTCGTGTGACTGCTGGCAGAGGCCCCACCCTCAACCAGGGTAGAAGTGTCCTTGGATGCTTCTCTCCCAATATGGGAGCCTGTCTGTGTTATGCTAACTCAATTGGAGCCAGAACAGGTCCTTGCCAGGAGGGCGACACTTTCCACATGTGATCGGGAAAGTGTTGGTGTGAGAAAACAATACACGGGGTGACAGATACACTCTGCTACCCCCTCCATTTGGCAGTGAAGTGGTACGCTTCACCTGGCCTATGTGATGAAGTCATATAACTCTAGCAAAGTGGGCTTTACAACAGAGCAATTTGTGTGGATGTTATACTGTTCTAAGCACTTTTCAAAGACTCTCTTAAAACTTTCAGTAAAATTAAGAACCAAAAAAAGAGACTTACCATCATCATTCTGGGCCAAGCAATCTATGAAGACAACGGAAGCTGCAATCCCTATGGCTAACCATTTTGAGAAGCAAAGCTGCTGTAACATTTTATGTTACACTTCAATCAAGGCAGATCTAGAAAGAAAGGAGAGAAGGGGGAGATAACTTTTAAAATAAAATAACATATTTGAATTCAACTGAAAACAAATTATCCTATAAATGTATTTTTGCCAAAATATCAGTTCAAAAAGCCTGACTCCATTTATCCATGGATCAATAAGAGTACTGTACTTAAATCTATCTATCTATATATAAATGCTCTGTGCATAATGAGTACCTTACAAACAAAAGAACCAATGAACGAAATCACACCAAATTTGGCAACAAAACGTCTCACTACACAAGGAGTGAACATCACTCAAAAATTATGATTTTGTCATTTGGGAGTTGTAGTTGCTAGATTCATTTGTATAGTTCACCAATAATCAAAGAGCATTCTGAACTCCACCAACAATGGAATTGAACCAAAGTTGGCACACAGAACTCCCATGATCAACAGAAAATACTGAAAGGGTTTGGTGGGCATTGACCTTGAATTTTGGAATTGTAGTTCACCTCCATTCAGAGAACACTGTGGACTCAAACAATGATGGATCTGGACCAAACTTGACAGGAATACTCAATATGCCCAAATGTGAACACAGATGGAGTTTGAGGAAAATAGACCTTGACATTTGGGAGTTGTAGTTACTAGGATGTATAGTAACTACAAAGAGCATTCCGAACCTCACCAACGATGGAATTGGGCCAAACATCCCACACAGAACCCCCATGACCAACAGAAAATTCTGTGTTTTCTGGTGGTCTTTAGTGACCCTTCTGACACCCCCCTGGTGACCCCCCCCCCCGGGTCTAGACTTCCCAGGTTGAGAAATGCTGCCTTAAGGCCACCCAGTCCAACTCCCTTCGCCAGGGCATGAAAACATAATTAAAGCCCTCCTGACAAAAGTCAATCCAGCCATTCCCACACACACACATATATACGTATATGACAGATGCAGTATCAAAGATTTGAAAAGGACCCCTAAAGAAGGGCAATGATATGTTGCATGTTCCAGCGTAGGCAAACCAGACAATCTCCACATCAACACTGACAAAGAAACAGCAAGAAATACTGCTTACCCACAAGCACAATAAAATTACATATATTAAAAACCAATGCTCATTACTTTATTTTCGAGATCACCAGATTGGGCCACAGCAACGCGTGGCAGGGGACCGCTAGTTCTTAATATAAATTAACCATCTGTGAGTAGAATGGCTTAAGGTGGGAGCTTAGTCCATTCTTGGAGAAACTTACCACTCTATTACATGGGCGATGAGATTTGGGCGATGGCTTACAAATCTCATTGCAATGTATGTGCTTATCTCCACATTCTACAATTATAAAATTTTGATTCTAGAGTGCTCATTTCTCAACCAAAAATCATAATCTGCAATGTAATCAGTAAATATAAACTGGGTTGTGAAGATTAATTAGACAAACTGTGCATCAATCACATAAAATTTCAAATGAGACAGAAATCAATGCTCAGTATAGTTCTCATGGTGAAGAGAATGGGAATTTGATGTATTCCAGTTTCTGGCACAGCATGATGGCTGTTGGAAACATCTAGAGACCTAAATATTCTCCAGCTCTATTGTGATGCCACTGCCTATATTTTAGAATTTTGGCCAATCCATGAGTAATTAATATCTATTCAGATTCAGTCTTTTGAAATTAAAAACAAGAAGATAATGCCAAATAATGCTAGCAAGTTTCCATTTGGCCACAAGTACTTAGAAAAATGAATGGAAGAATAGAAAGACCTATAGAATGGATTAATAAGAGTGAAACATGAAGGCTCACATTAAAACAAACTCAATATATTATTTATAGCAACATAGTGCTATGGGTTTAACCTTATAAACCACCTAATCCAGCAGATTTACTCACTGTCACTGCTCCACAATTACCTGTTTGTATTGCGGTCACATAAAGCCACATATACTTTCATTTTTGTGTCAAAAATATTCCTTCTTTCTTATGCTGCACTCAACAGCCTTCAACATCAAAACAATGTGTTCTGCTTTCAATCTAAAATCATTAAAGTTACTGCTATCATTTCACTTCATTTTTCTTATCTGTGCACTTGCAGTGTCGTCTTTGGCACTTATTTACATCACAAACAATAGTATCATGTCAAGACTTTAAGGTTCCTCCTTAGATCTGTCAAAGTCTTTATATATTCATTGCAGCCAAGAAAAAATAGCTCTTTTTAATGGGAAAGTAGACATATCCATGAAAAACAGGAACTAGCAAACACGTCTTTTAAAACTTGAGAATGTTTCCAGATTTCTCAGCTCAGTTGTTTTCAGGAAAGCAGTCATTGCAATTGGCTTTATCCTTTCAGAAAATTAAGCATACACTCATATATACACACACAATCATATCGGCTTTCCTGGCAAACTGGTATGATATATTCAAAATAAAAATTAGATTATTTAATAAAGAGAAATGTTGATGAATGAAATAGAGTGACAAGATACAGACTGATAAGCATGCAAACTAATTAAATGTATTAAAACCATAATTCAATCTCATACATTACAACAAAATATATCATGATAGACTTGAAAGTACCAATACTACCCTCCTTTCCTATTATGATGATCTTCTGATTACTTATGTGTTAAGTGAGGTTATTCTGTGTCATAAATATGTATATTATCATACTGAGGGAGGTACATGTGGCACTGGAGCAGCTGTATCAGCGCAAAGTGAATTCCAGTCCATCTCCTTTCCCCTATGACCCTCACAACTACTTGAAAAGCAGATATATTATAATTTTCAGCCCTCTGGAGGACAAGGAGCCATGGGAAGGGGAGATTGGACTTGCCACCTCTGCTGGTTTTCACTTTTCCACCTTTGAATACCCACCACTGGATTCCATTAAAAAGGAAAGGAGAGGGAGAAAGAATATGTTGGCATTCTAAACACAAGATACTGTGGCATAAAGCTTTTGTGAACCTAGGTGGGCACTGGCTATGTGGACAGTGGAAAAAAACAGCTTCACCCTCCTTATGTATTCACTCCCAGTATTGCCATTCCTTCTTTCTCTCTCTCTCTCCCCTCTCCCACTTTAAAAATACCTTTAAGTGCACAGAGGCCTCACTCAGAGTTCACTCTTCAACCCTTCAATCTACCAAAACCTTTTGTTTTTGACCATTACAGACTGATGTGATCTCATTTTCCAATGCATCTTGACTCCATATATTCTGCCCTTTGACCCATTGGAACATAAGAAGTGCCATCTACTTTTTCTATTCATATCTTTGAGCTGAGGCACAGTTTGGGTACCTGAGACATTTTCAAATATACCACAGCATTAAAGGTCAATTATCTGAGAAAAAGAAACAGTCACTACAAACTATAAAGCATTTTTTTGTTCATTTGTTTGTTATGTCAGAGGCTACAGGAACAGGATATGCAGGGAAACCTGTCCAGAAATAATGAAGTAAGCTGTGTCTCATATTCTGTCTGATGCCTGTAGATATGATCAACAAGTACACATTTTGAAATGAATTAATTCCTAAAGGGTCAAGTAAGTTTGTTGATTTTATACTCAGGTGTGTGATGTGTGCATATTTGTTCCTATCAATATTAAAGAGAGGTGAAGACCCTAATTTTGAATGATGTTAATGTAAGGATGTAATTTGTCACGAATTTTCATCTCAAAGGAAGCAATAAGATATTTTAACAGTTTACTTCGTGCTGCAAGAAAAACTTCAAAAACCATACTGTTTTCAATGTCTATTCAAAATTTGGGTCCAGTTTTGCACAAAATATACAAGTTGCTGGTTTTCATTGAATATAGTGGCTTTTGTGCAGACAACTTTTTACTGTGGTTAGAGTAATATGTATGGAAATTAGTTGCACAGGAAAAACTATTTTCAGTTGAAATCACCTATGTGTAAATTTTTAGTTTCTTGCACAGAAAATGCTATCTTGTGTGCAGAACAATTACAAAATTGTGAAGATGGTAATCAGTCTAGGATTCTTTTTGCCAGGATTTGCTGTTGCTAAAAAAACACTTACAGTTATCTTTTGAACATTTTAAAATATTCTGTCCATTCCTAGTGCTTGTTTGTCTCACGATAGGAGAACATTAAACTCCAGCGAGTGGAAAACTTAGGGAGATTGCTTGTATGAAGACAGAAATCATTTTGTCAGAAAATATTGTTTTATTCTATCTGAAACAGAGACAATGTTCATGAGAAAACATTCAGGTTCGGGTTAGCTTTCTATGTAAAGGAAGGTTTTCTGAAAAGAGTCACTCTTTGGACAATAATAGTCCATACTTGCTCTGAAAGCTTGCCTAATTTCTGTGGGCCCATCAACACAGGCCACATACCCCCAAGTGGACAAGAAGTCATTCCATGGCATTTGAATGATTTATGGAACTAGCCCAAAGCTACTTAACATGGTTTCGCCCTACACCAGATAAAGTTAAGGAATGCTTAAGAGTCTTCCTGAAAGTCTACAGCAGATCCACACTTTGGTGTATGTGTGAACAGTTCTGATTCACACAGTCCAGTGCTGCCATCACATTCTCCATGCTCTGTGGGATGGGGAAAATGGGATAGTCCTCATCTTTGTCATTTTTCAGCACCATAGTGGCAGCCAAGGAGATACAGAGACCTCCTGACCATTGCTTGGCCCCTTTGACAATGTAAGCAAAGGCACATATGTGACTTGGATAAGGTAGTAGGATTTCTTCTCTCCACCCTTCCCTGAGTCACACAAGCATTTTTGCATACTTTGGCAAAGACATTGAGCAATGGCCAGAAACTCTCTGGAGCTGTTGTTGCAGTGACGAATAACAACAGGGGTAAAGGCAAGTGCCCAGTGGGCATGATTGGACAGTGAGAACTCTGCTCCTGTCACTGGTCCAGGAATACAGTGGTGTAAATGCCATTATTATTATTATTATTATTATTATTATTAAACTTTATTTGTACCCCGCTAGCATCTCCTGCAGGACTCGATGCAGCTTACAAAGGCCAAGGCCTCAATACAACAACAGCAAAACAAT